AATAGGAAGAAAAGGTCTAAAGGTGCAGGGGAAGTGGGAGAGGTAGGGGAAAGGAAAAAAGGGAAAAGAAAAAATATGAGAAAAGGAAAAAAATGGAAACAAAGTGTTTGCAAATAGGGAAGGGTGGAGGGGGTGAAGGGAGGGCAAGGGAAGAGAAAAAAAAGAACCAAGAGACTCATGTAATGGTACAAGATCCCAATGATGAATGTAATTGTATTTTATACTGAAAATGTACCAATAAACGTAATTGTTCCTTGATCCACAGGCTACAGAGGGGATATTGTGTGAGCAGGCATGAACACAGCATGACTGTCATTGTGTGTCTCTGTGAGAACTCTCAGGTAATCAGGCACATTATCTGTGAGTTGTACTATTTTAAACAAGCATCGGTCTCAACATGGGGCTTAAGATGTAAGCCACATGGTAAGCAGATGTGTTCTCTTCCAAACTTAGCTCCATTTATACAGCACAAGCAGAATAGATTTAACATAATTCTTAAGGGCCCTAGGATTTTCAGAATGGTAAATGAATATTGGCTTTACTTTAAAGTCCCCAGCTCCATTAGCCCCTAACAAGAGAACCAGGCACTGACTTCTCCTCCCTAGCTATGAAAGTTCTAGACAGAATCTTCTTCAAGGCTGTTACGTTTGCACTGAAAATCTGTTGCTGAGCATGGCCATCTTCATTATTTACTCTAGACAGAGCTTCTGGATAACTTGCTGCAGTTTCTTCATCGATCCTTGATGCTTCATCTGACCTTTCATGCTACAGAGATGTCATTTTTACTTCAACCTGAGGGATTGACCTCTGCTATGTTCAAACTTCTCTGAAGCTTCCTCACCTCTCTCAGTCTTTGCAGAATTGTGGCTCTGGAAGAGGCTTTGGCTTAAGGAAATGTTGTGGCTGGTTTGCTCTTCATTCAGACCACTAGGTCTTTCTCCTTATCAGTAGTAAATCTGTTTTTCTTTTTTATCATTCATGTGTTCTCTGGAGTAGCACTTTTAATTTATTTTAAGAACTTTTCCTTGCAGTTGTAAGTTGGCTACTTGGCATAAGAGATCTAGATTTCAGGTTGTTTGGGGTTTTGCCTTGCCTTCTTCATTAAGATTGATTATTGCTAGCTTTTGATTTAAAGTGAGAGATGCATGACCCTTCCTTCACTTGAACACTTAGAGCCATTGTAGGGTTTTTACTTGGCCTACTTTCCATATTGTTGTGTCTCGGGAAATGCAGAGCCCTGTGCTCCGATCAGGAGCTGCCAGTGGCTGGAGGGTGCCATGGAAAGGACTCAGACTCAACAGACGGGCTGTGCACCTGGAAAGTTACTCGAGGTCTGCCGAGGTTTGTGGGCTGGGAGATTGGGGTCTGCCTAGCTTTTTAGTGACTACTTCCATGGGGTAAGTTGTACTTTCTAAAATTGATGGCATTTGCATTTTTGGTTAGAGGAGTGAAAATAATGTGTTTTTTAAAGAAGATGTCAAAGGTAGAAGTGAGTAAGATTTCATTCAGTGAATGATACCCATAGTTGGGTATCTATAGATGCACTGTATAGACATAAACAAACTGTTACAATTGTCCCTGGATTTACCTCTAGGATGGATCTGATTCTTTGATACTCTCATAACCCAGAGTATCTCCTATCTCAGGCTCTGTGTTCATTTTATAAAGATGCAGGGGAAAATTTGAACTAGATGAGGCATTTGGAGATTTACATTGGGAATTGAGGAAAGAAGCTAGTGCTTTCTGGGGGTAGAGTGGGCTCCAGTCCCCAATGTTGGGAACAGCTGGCTTTGTTCTTTGTGTCTCCTGAACTCAGATCTGGAGATGGAGAACCTGAAAGCAATGAGAGAGGCAGCACTAGGCATGAGATGGGATCACTACAGGGTGTTCTTGAGCTGGAACTGAGGACTTTTGGGCCATCTTAAATTGATAGGACTGTGCATTCAGGGTCTGGGGCAGTTATTAAATGGAGTCTTTCTGAGAAGGAACATGATCCTGGCAGATAATGTTTTCTGTAACAAAAAGCACTTTCCATTGAGTGCACTACTGTAAGCTGCCAGAGCTCCTAGCTTGAGTGGGGGAAGTCATCTGAGTCAGCTCATATGGGACCACAGAGCCCCTGAGAGAGGAGAGGACAAGGATCCTGAGTATTACTGACCATTCCCACCGTTCCACCCCCAACCACTCAGGCTGTGCGTGTGCTGATCTTAGGGTTTCGGCAGACTCAGCTCAGGATCCTCTGGGGGCTGAATGTAAGGACAGGGTCTGGGCAGCTTATTTGTGTACAGCCCGAGGCAGAGAAGCAACACAGAGGTGCAGACTATGGTAGAGAAGGTCCCAGAGCCCTCAGCAGAGCCCACAGGTCTCAGGTCATTTGGGGCAGTGAGTATTTGGATACTATGAAAATATACTTTTCCCTTTGGGTTCTTTATTGAGGATTAGTAGAGAACATTTTACTAGCTTTAAAATGAGGAGATTGAGGGGGAGGGGACAGGCCCCATTTTCCTGTAATCACTTCTCTCATTATAAAAATCATCTGGCCTCTAGGACTGCCCAAAGCAGTCACCTTTCAGAGACTGACCCCATAACTATTTCCCAAAGCTTATGGATGGCAAAATGTCCTAATTACAACTCATCAAGGCCACTGATGATCCAGATGTCTGGCCTTGGGCTGGGCTGGGCTCTGCTGAGAGATCATCTATGACACCTGACTCAGTAGAAGGTAGGACATCAAAGCCTCAGGTTCTTCCTCCTCTTACTGAGTTTCCCTGGTACATCTTTGTCATACCATGTTCATTTCATAAGAATGTGGAATGGGGTCATGATATTTTTCATTGATTCATTTCATCTATGACATCTGCTTGTTAAACCACCATTTGCTTCTGTGGATTCATCATACTTTGTAGTCTTATTTTACATGTGGTGTTTGTTTCCCTCATTGACATTTCCTTTCCTACAATGGACTAGCAACTGACAATGAAAATTCGATCTCTCTCTCCCTCTCCCTCTCCCTGTCCATCGGTATCTTATGTAATCTTGTTAAAGTGTCAGAAAGAACTGACTGAGAAACCCACTACAGACTGTGTGGTCTCCGTGAATACCACATCCTCAGGATCATGTTTGCATAAGCCTGAAGGATTCGGGATCCTGTCATTGAACCCAGGACAGTGCCAGGGTCAGAGCTGTGACCTGACTTAGGCAAGAGTCCAGGTCACTCAGCAGAGTCTCCTCCAGGAGGCTGTGGATGTTATATGCAGGGATGAGCTCCTGAGTGCCACTCCCCTACCCAAGACTGCCCCTGAGCACAGGGCCTGAAGCCTGAATGCAGATCTGCCTGGAGGTAGGAGGAGAGGCCACGGATCTCTGGAGTAGTTATGGCAGAATATTCAGCAGTGGGACCACTGCAGGACAGTGAGAGTCAATACCCTAAGAGTGGGTAGGAAGATCAGGTGGCTGACATGGGCAAAGGTGATAGTTTCTAAAATTCCATTCTGTCACACTGTGCTAACTCTTAGAGCACCTGGACTGTACAGTGGTCTCCCCAGTGAATTGCATCCTGGTGGGTGCCACCCAGGTAGACACCTGGGACCTGGCCTCTGTAGAACATTTCTCAGCTAAGAGTCATACTGTTCTGGGGTTCTGGCCGTGTGGGATAACTTTGTGAGTCTGACTCTCAGTGTGAGGTCACTACAACTTGAGTGCATTGGATGGGTTTTCCTGACCTCCAACCCGAGACCTCGCTTTTGAGCACTGTTGACCCTGGCAGCTGGCTTCCTTCTTGAGCATAGTCTGGGTAGCCCCAGCCTTAAATTAGGTCAACATACATCACATAACAGGTCATCTTTTTCCCTCCATGACCTCTGAGCAGAACACCTATATGATATGTTGTGAAATGTTTTTCTTCTACATCTTTGTTCTCATGTCTCTGTGTTACAAAGAAATAACTGCAGAAGTCTCAGCTTGCTACTGTTTCCCTGAGGCTCTCTTTTGCCCAAGAAGCATCCCCTCTGTGTCCTCTCAGTGACTGAACTAAGCTTCATCTCCAAGTAACCTTTTATTCTCTAAGCAGCCATGATGGCATACTGTTTAAGGCAGATGCATTTTAAAAGGAAGTATTCTGACTGCACTGAGGTGTAACCTGCAGAAAGTAATGGGAAGATTCAGCATACCTGGATCTAGTAGATGGGAAACTAGCAGAGAGTTGATTGAGTGCAAAGTCAGTAATGAGGGAGGGTGACAGGTAGCTACCTCAGGAACAATCTCAAACCTAACTTTTAGACCTTACCCAATTTTATCCCCTATAATTCACTACAAAGTATGTTCCCAGAACAACAAGGCAATGTAAAAAGATCAGTAAGCTAGGGTTGTTGTTGTGTGTGTATATCAACTTAAAGAGAACACAATCATGGCTACAGCTTTAAACTTGTGAATTGTGCTGCAAAGGAGAATGAAGTCTTTCCAAAATCCTGTATGCCTGGGAAACTAAACCATTTTCACCCTGGACCTTTATGCAGATGATAAATTCTGAGTTTCTTCTATCTCTACCCCATCAGAATGGCAAATAACATATTTCATGTCTTGGAGTAAAGAATGACAAGCCAGTGCCACCTTTAAAGACCTGAAAGATGTATAGTTGAGGTTGGATTTTTATATCCCGTTAATATTCATCTGTTTGCTCTTAATAACATTGGAAGGGGTCTTGAAAGGTAGAAGTAGGTTTCTATATATCCAGACAGGAAGTTATCTAGTTGGCTGTTTTGCACAGGCTGTATCATCTGGTAGAGCAAAATAACATGTCTATAGGTGCATGGTACACAGCCTCGATGCAGAAGCTGAGGTATTTTTCTATTCCCCTGAGAGATCAGTATATTCATCTGAGAGAGTAGTAATGGCATCACTCCCTCATTCACTGTACCCTATCATTTTTACCAAGATGCAAGGAGCCACACTGCTATAACTGTGAAAGGTCCAGTTCCACTGCTCCCTGAAGAAGAAAAGAAAAGACATAATGATGGGAGAAAGAATCAATTATATTATCAACATGCCAGCAAGCTGGAAGAAGAGGCTCCTGCCCTGAAAAAGTCATCTTGCTTACGGGGTGCAAGCACAAGGCTTGTACAGGGATTTTTGGGGGAGGCATGACAGGTCAGCCCCAGGGTAGTTACCAATTTCAGGTGGACTATGTTGTGATGAACAGGCTGTTGTTATCTGTAGGTTACAAGATATTTTAGCTTCTATAAGTCTAAAGAAAACTTACTTATTAAAACTCATGAAAGCTTATTACACATGTATTTTTCCACCAAACAACAAATAATTCAGTTAATCATTAGGAAAAAAGAGGTATTTTCCTTTTGAAAATGGGAAGACAGCATGGAACAGAAAACAGTGTATATATATATATATATATATATATATATATATATATACATATATACATGGCATGGACAACAACACACATGTATGGTATAATCCCCTCTGATGCCTTAACCCTCCCTCTGTCACACCATAGTCTATGAGGTTATTGGACCTTATGAAAACCCAGTGCAACTTTCCAGAGCTCTACCTTGCCATCACATTGTATCAGGTACGCATTAAATGGGAAGCATATTGAAAGCTTTGGGGAGACTCCATATTAGCTCAAATTTTAGGGCTTAGTTGTTTTGAGCTTTCTTAGACTTCTTCAATAAAAGTAATGAACACATTGTTTGCATCTTATACTTTACATAAAGAAGAATCTCAGAAGCTATAAGCTATTCTGGTTTCTGAAAACAGTATATTTCAAATTTGGTGTTGTTGCTACCATTCAAATACTAGGAGCAATAAAATTTTCCCAGTACATGTGGATTCCAGAGCAGAGAGTTTCTGTAGCATGTCATAACTTTTACCAGACACTCTGCTGTGTGGACAATGTTATCCAGCAGACTGTGAGATTACAAGGGAATTAGTGATGGGAACAGAAACGTTAGGTCAAGGCCACATAAGAGAATCCCAGCATTGACCACATGGATTTGGAACAAGCTCTTGTCCTCTGCAGTAGAGAGTATATGCCTTTTGAAAAACAGCATTCATTGCCTTCCTAAGTCCTGTTAGGTACAGGGGACATTAAGTGACTAGGCATGCAGAACTGTGAGATCCATGAGCCTCGGGTTCAAGGAAGCCCAGCAGTGATCATTGTATAGCATGCATGGTGCTTCTAGGATGAAGCAGGAGCAGGTCTGAGGCTCAGTGGCCTTTGTGGGCAGACGGTCCACACCCCACATCTCCATCTCACCTGCATCTGCGTCTTTTCGGTTTGCACTTGTGTCCTGTGATTGGAGATGGGGGCATTCTGGAGAAAGTGCCTCTAAAACATCTGTCATCTGAGTGGGCCAGTCCTTCCCTGTCTAAAAAAATGTAATGAGAGCTGCCAAGCAGGGTGGTACACGCCTGTCATTCCAGCACTTGGGAGGTTGAGGCAAGGGGCTCACTGCAAGTACAAGGGCAGCCTGGACTACGTAGTGAATTCATCCTGCCTGGATGAGTTAGTGAAACCCTATTTCATAGCAAAACAAAACAAAACCAAACCAAACCCCAAACACAATGAAACCTTACATACATTTTAATGTTTAGTAACTACATTAAAAATAAAAAGACACAGGCATCAGTGTTTTAATAATGTATGTGACATAAACCTATATCAAAAGTAGTATCATTTCCACAAGAATTGACAAAAACTTATTTATGATAGAACTTACACCTCTCCTCATTCTATATCTTTGAGATATAATATGTAGAATACAATTACAGCACATCTGGATTTTGACACTAAAGTTTTTTCAAAAATATCTGTCCTTCTGACAATTGCTGTCTAGTTGTTTGCATTCCAACTTGTAGAGAAGCGGGTGAATACAAGCTGCTTCTGCTCAGCCTCTTTTTTACCTTTTGAACTGTGGTTACAAAGATTTGTGTGTTTCAAAATATATTCCCCATAGAGTAAACACAGCGGTAGCACTGAAACTTAGATTTAAACGCACAATTTGAATCATTTGTTTTTGCCACAGGAGACAGCACTCTCTAGAGCCTTGAGGAGAGACCAATGTCCTGGCTGCAAGAGCTCAATGAGAGGCCATGGGATGTTGGATAAAAACAGGACTCTGGGCCCAGAAGACTTCAGTTCTGCTGCTGGAGGCCACTTTGTAGCTCTGTCCTCAGGCACATTCCTCCCTTTCTCCATGCCTCAGCTTCCCCGCCTGTGATAAGAATGACACTGGCATCTGAGTAAAGTTATGATGAAATTATTTATTACATGGGAAGTGCTGGATGGAGCTTAATAAGTATGAAACACATGAATGTTTTCTCCTCTTCTAATTTCTGTTCTTCTTCTTGTTACAACAGACCAAAGTCACGAGAGATAGATAAAAGGGAAAGTTAAGGAGGCATAGCAAATATTGGAGTTTGGGACATTTAACATTGGCAAAACATCCTATGAGATGTTTTTGTAAGTTCAAGCCAGCATACATACAAGTGCACCAAGGCTATGTGTATGTATGTATGTGTGTGTATATATATATATATATATATACACACACAAATGTATGCACACACACATACATGCACACATGGGCACACAGGTGCAGGGATGACTTTGTTCTGTGTATAGATCAATGGAAGTACATTCCTCCTGGCCTGCTGTCCTGCCTAGTAGGCCTGTCTTTGCCATTGTTGTCAGAGACCTCCCCAGGATGTGTCCCAATAGAAATATAGCCAGCTACATTGTCTTATATACACACTTTTTTTAGTTTTTATGTTTTTATTAGTATGTGTTTACAGATTATAATGACTACATTCCTTGTGGGGAGTTGGTACATATACATAATACACATTTTCATCCCCCTCCTCTCCCCTACTTCCCCAGAACAGATAAACAAAATATGGTATTTACTCACAATGGGGGCCAGGGGTGGCAGCGCACACCTGTAATCCCAGCACTTAGGCGGCAGAGGCAGGTGGATTGCCATGAGTTCAAGGACAATCTGAACTACATAGTGAGACCCTGTCGCAAAACAAAGAAATAAAATTTACAAACAATGGAATACTAATCTGCCATAAAGAAGGACACATTTGAGCCACTTATAGAAAAATGGATATATCTTGAGACCATAATGTCAGGGAAACAAATCAGACACACAAACTTAAACATCACATGGTTTTTGTTATATGAGAAACTCAAAATATAAATAAAGAACAAAATAAAAGCTAGATAATAGAAAATAAGATAATTTCCCACACTCTCATGAATTTGATGAGTTTCCCATTTGCCTCAGTAGAGTTCATGCTGCTTGGGACATCTTGGCTCTGGGAGAGGGAGGAGGTACTTATCTCTGCAGGAGGTGAAATCATGATCAGCATAATCAGTTTGTGTCCTCTGACCTGTTTACTTCAGCTAGGAGTGAACAATCACCACCTAATAGGAGCCCAGGCATCATAACCATTGGACAGATGTCTTCCTCTGACTTTCCTTCTCTCATTCTCCTACTTACTCTCTGGCTCAGAAAACACCCTGACAACCTGGTCCTCACAGCCCTAAATCTACTCCGAACTTTCCTTTTGCAGGGCTGTCTGGAGGGCTGGGAGGAAAGGGCAGCCTGGAGAATCACAGATCTGGATGAGCATGGCCAGATCTGCTTATGGCCTTGTCTCCAGTCTTCCTGGGGATGAAGGAGGAGTTTGACACATAGGGAAGAGGTTTGTGTCTCACATTCCCACCTGTCCTTGTCACTGTGAACTCTACCAGTGTGTTTCACCTTTGACAGAGTCAGCCTCATCCCAAGCCTGGGCCCTGCTATGGTCAGAGTGGCCATATCCCTTGAGCTGGAGGTAGAGAATAGGTCAGAGGTTCCTGAGGCCTGAGTATCATCAGCTCAGCTGACTAGCAGAGGGGCCTGGCCTGACTTCTGCTGGTACCACTGAATATACCTCTCTGAGGGATTTTCTCCAGAGCAGGTGACTGTGGCCATCTGACCTGGGGCCACTGTCACTGAAGGAGGTTGTATAAGTACACAGGAGGCCATAGACCCTATAGGAGAGTGAAGGAGAGGGGTTCTGAGGAAGAAGGACCCATTCCCAGGGGCTCAACTCAGGATTTAGGCCAGGGCCAGCTCAGTGTGCTGTGGGAGTTGAGCCAGAGAGCAGAGCCTGACTAGGTCACCTGTGTGCAGAGTGAGAGGAAGGAGGAGAAGAGTACAGACCATGGTGGAGGTACCCCAGAATTAGTCTCCTGCTACTCACACCAGAGCTGGGCCCATCCGATCCTCTTTGAGTCCCTCTCAGGTCCCTTGGGACAGTGGGTGAGTAGTGTTTATGCCAATTTAACCCATACTTGGGGTCTCACATTGAGGGTTATTGAGAACATTTCCCCCTACTGTGTGGGATTAGAACAGGAGAATGAAGAGGCAGAGGTGGAGCCTGAACTTCTGCAGCTGCTTCTCTTTTCAGAAAATCATCCTTAGACTCTAAGGCCCCTGATCAAGTTACCTTCCCGGTACTGACACCATGACCACTATCTCATGCCTCCACGACTGTGATGTCTCCTGACCAAAGATTAGTAGGGCTGTGGGCCTTCCACGAGCCTGATCATAGGCTGTGCTGGGTCCTGCTAAGAGACAAATGATGACACCTGATCAGCAGAGGATGGATCATTGACTCCTCACCTTCCTCTTCCTGTTCCTGTCTGGTTTGCATAGCTGCATTTTTGTACCAACATTGTCACTTACTCAGAATTCTGTCTGTGTCATTAGGAATTTTGTGAAATCACTTAATATATGACATTTAGTTTGGTAACCTACCAGTATCTAATGTGAAATCATCACAATTTCTAGTCTCATTTCACATATGGTGTTTTCTCCGTTCAGTCATATCTCCTACTAGAGTAGGCTAGAATTGTCATCAGAAGTTCTTTTCTTTTAAAAATTTACCTCATTGTTTTATGTATTTGAAAAAAGTGTACTGAACAGACTGCTTATGAAATGTCGTGCCGTGCCCAGAGTATGTGGTATCTGTGAAGGTCCTCATGGTCATGGTTGCACAGGGCTGAGCTCCAGAGATTGGGCAGTCAAGGGTTCAACTAATGTTCAGGGTGCTGTCCCTAAATCAAGGAAAGGCAAGGATCAGAGCAGTAGCCTGAGGAAGGTGAGAGTCCCTGTGTTTCTGCACAGTCTCCTCAAGGATGGTGCTCTGTCCAAGGATGAAACTCTGAGAGACCCCTCCTCCACCTGAAACTGCACCTGATCTCAGGAGCTGCAGCCTGAGGGGAGATCTGGCTAACAGTAGAGGAGAGCCCAGGGAAGAGTGGACTGTGAATCTGGAAGAGCCCAAGATGGAGGTGTCTGTAGCACACATCTCTGCCCAGTAGTAGCAGACTCTGGTTAGTGGAAATCCAATCTGAGTACCCTTTGATTTCTCCAAGCAAGACAAGCAGTGCCTTCCTCCTTTACATCCTTGCCTGCATATCAGCTATCCCTGCCTGCATATCAGATGATATCTTGCTTGCATATCAGCCATTGCCAGATGTTTTCAGCCAGATGCTTCCAAAAACTTCACAATATGCCACTTGATGTCTTCAAAGCATACTTTTCTTATCTTCCCACACTTGCAGTCAATAAAATGCTGGGCATCCTTTGTGCCCTTTGTCTTTACTGCCGGAGCAGTACACATCAGCCCAAAACCTGATCATACACCCTGACCAAGTTAGATTTATCCCAGGGATGCAAGGATGGTTCAACATTCATAAATCAATAAATGTAATGCGCTATATTAAAAGAGTCAAGGACAAAAACCATATGATCATCTCAATAGATGCAGAAAAAGCATTTGACAAAATCCAACACCCATTCATGAGAAAAACGCTCCAGAAAATTGGAATAGAAGGTCTTTATCTCAACATGATTAAGGCTATGAAAAAGCAACAGCCAACATCATACTAAATGGACAAAAACTGAAAACTTTCACGCTAAAATCAGGAACAAGACAAGGATGCTCACTGTCACCACTCCTGTTCAATATAGTTCTGGAAACAGCCACAGCAATTAGAAAAGAGAAAGAAATAAAAGGAATAAAGACAGGAAACGAAGAAGTTAAACTGTCATTATTTGCTGATGGTATGATACTTTACACAGAAGATGCAAAAAACTCTGCCAAAAGACTTCTAGACTTAATTGACAGATTCAATAGAATATCTGGATATAAGGTCAGCACTCACAAAACAATAGCCTTCTTATACACAAACAATAGACTCACTGAGAGAGAAATTAGGGAAATAATTCTTCTTACAATAGTATCCAAAAAAATGAAATATCTAGGAATCAACCTAACAAAGGAAGCAAAAGACCTGTATACTGAAAACTACAGGACCCTGAAAAAGGAGATTGAGGAGGATATAAGAAAATGGAAAGACATCCTTTGTTCCTGGGTAGGAAGAATCAATATAGTGAAAATGGTCATACTTCCAAAACTACTATGTAGATTTGATGCAATGCCAATTGAAATTCCAACAATATACTTCAAGAACTAGAGAAAACAATCCAAAAATTCATTTGGAACCAGAAGAGTCCTAGAATAGCAAAAGCAATTCTGGGCAACAGAGACATGGCTGGGGGT